ATTTATTAAATAAGTGCTTGAGCAGCAGGTTGCAAAGCAGGAAACTACCATTCATTAAAAAGCCACTCTAAACTTCTTCTGAGCTAGTTTATAAATATCAGTGGATTTACTTTGGTAAATCAGTTTTCGAACCTGGATATGCTGGATTTATTTAAAGAAATGATTGTTGGCTCCAGCTTTCTTTTTTTTTTTTTAATAGGCCTACAAAAGGTTAAAGATATAGAGTAAATTAATACCACGTGACCTCACAGTGTTTTATCAATGTGGTTACTGATTTTGAAATAAAATTTGAGATTAAAACAGTTCGTCTAATGACATCTACATTTCTGGATTAGTTTTGATTGATTTTTCCCCATTATGGTTTGTATTTTTTTACTTCTTTGCATGCCTGATTTTTTTTTTAATTGGATGCCAAACACTGTATTTCACTACTGTTGGATGTTGAGTATTTATATTCCTTAAAATATTTTTGAACATAGCTTTAGGATATAGTGAAGTTACTTGGAAATGGGTTAATTCTTTTGGGTCTTGTCTTTAAAATTACTTAAGTGGGGCCAAAGCAGCATTTATTCTAGCTTTAATTTTTCCCCATTTACATGGTTAGGCACTTCTTAGTAATCTAACTGATGTGCTGTGAATTGTGAGCTTTCTCCCCTTGCTGTTGGCTCTAATGTGAGCTATGGGCACTGCCCTCTCTGAACTTTGTGGGTGACCCTTTACTCAGTCTCAGGAAGTAGTCATTACTGAGTTAACTTTAAGGCTTTTTGCAGGTATCTTTAGTTCTTTCTGTGGAGCTCTCCCCTCTCCAGTGCTCTGGTCTGTAACCACTAGTCACCTTCATTTCATCACATTCTCAAGGCTATCTCCTCAACTGCGGAAGGTTCCTGGGGTCTGACTGGCTCCACCTCCCTGCACCCTCCCGTACATTTTGTCTCATTTCTTTAGGTGTTTCAGATGGTAAGATAGCTATAACCCGTTACTCCATCTTGATTAGAAGTGGAGGCGTCTAAATAGGTCTGTATAGCTTTATTTAATATGGCAGCATACATTTCTGAGGAAGGTTTCACTTAGTCAGTGAATATACCATTCAGGAAATTCGTGTAAGTGCTCCTATCATACCATATAGCGCTATTAATCCCAAAGAATTTTATGTATATCTCAAAAAAGGATTATAATAAGTATAGCACAAACAGACACACACAGGGACACACCCTTCGGTATTCAGTCCCAGAAAGTGAAGTTAAATGAGGATTCTCACACATAACTGATGGCCATTTAGTACCGGCCTTTGTTTTTGTTTTGCTTTTTTAAATGAACAACTCTTTTATGTTTAATTTAAAAAAATAGAAAATCTAAATAGTAATACTTTAGACCTCGTATGATTTTTTAGTCTGGGATGCTATTTTATGGAAAAGTTAGTAAAAGATATTTATGTCAGTTATTCTCTCTATATATTATTTTTAGCTAGAATTGAGGAATAATTTTTTACTGATAAGGAAATAATGCATCCATGTATAAGTGCCATTGAAACAATGTTTATCCAACAAGAAACATTTATATAATACTGTAAATTGAAATAAAGTAAGTTTATACAGAACTGACATTTCTTAAACTTAACATATAGTAAGTTGATAACTATATATCTTACTACCTCAGCTATAAAGTACATTAAAACATATGTTATTAATACATTAAACCTGTAAACAGTATATTGAATGCCAACTTAGCTTTATACACTATATTCTACACATGGGCATGTGAGCAAAGCCACTATCTGCTTATTTTCTAGTGAGAAATTAAGATCTGTTTTGCAAAGAAGAGTGTTATAGGATAAAATAAACACGCTAAAAACTAATGTTTGGAAAGTGAAATTATAGTTTTTATCTATATGATAAGAACAGCTTATCTGATATCCACTGACATTTATATCTATATGTTTTGTGAGCAGGTGAAATCCTCCTGGTGTTTTAGAGTCATAGAATTGTAGTGTCATTTCATATTCTATTTGGCCTCCTGAACTTTATAAAATTATGTTAAGGTGTTTTTTTTTTTTTTTTCTGTCTATATGCCCCCAAAGAGTTTATATTATATTCTTAACTTAAAATACACACAATTTCGTGAAATTTAAAATTATGTGGTATCAAACTCCGTCTTTATATTTCACAATCTACTGTTGTTGAAAATGTCTACCTGAGACATACTGAAGTTCATCCGCTGATTAATAGGCTTCATGGTAATTTTGTTTATTTTTCCAGAGAAATTGGACCTTACATTCGGATACATTATATTTCTTTTCTGCTAGTTTTTTTTATCCTCACTTATTCCTCCAGGATATGATCAATCAATAACCATGTCTGTTAGGTTCTAGATGAAAAGTAACTTTTGAGAAGAGACAGAATATATTTTGTCCAAAATGTATTCCCTTGTATTCCTTGCACGGTGGCTGGCACGAGTGATTAAAAAATGATTTCCAAACGAATGAATACATTATTTGTAGTAAATACAGTAATCTCAATCATTACTTCTATAATAATATCTTTTATATTATAGAAAAAACCCATATTATATCATTAGTATAAATGACATAATCTTTTTGGTGTTTTAATTTTTAAAATACATTCTCTACCTATCTTGTATTAATGGTATATCATGAGAAGGTGACTAAAGTATGAAATAAAATAAAAAGAGTGATATTGTTGTGTCATTATCTAAATCTATAAAACAGTACCTAGTAATAGTATTTTATAATTCTTTTTTTTTTTAAAGATTTTATTTATTTATTTGAGAGAGAGAGAGAGACAGAGAGCATGCGTTTTAATTCTTAACTGTTTTAATTCTTCATTGGGAGCAGAAATGCCAGAACAGCAATACCAGTAATTTCACTGTAAAAATGACCTTATTATAAAGATTAATTTCTCTACTGTGTTTTATTGCTATATAGATTTATGATGAATGCTATGGACTAAATGTTGGTATACCCCCAAAATTCACATGTTGAAACCAAACCCCCAAAGTGGTATTTGGAGTTGGGGGTCTTTAGAAGGTAATTAGGTTTAGATGAGGTCATCAGGGGTAGGCCCCCGTGATGGGATTAGTGTCTTTTTTTTTTTTAAGATTTTTTTTTCTTTAATTCATTTGAGAGAGAGAATGAGCGAGAACATGAGAGGGGGATGGGTCTGAGGGAGAAGCAGACTCCCTGATGAGCAGGGAGCCCAACGCGGGACTCGATCCTGGGACTTCCAGGATCATGACCTGAGCTGAAGGCAGTCGCTTAACCAACTGAGCCACCCAGGCACCCGGAATTAGGGCCTTTATGAAAAGAGGGAAAGTAAGAGCATCGTCCCTTTCTGCAATGTGAGGACACAGCCAGAAGGTGTGTTCTACAAACCGCGAAGAGGGCCCTCACTAGAACCTCACCTTGCTGGCACCCTGATCTCAAGCCTGCAGCCTCCAACATTGCAAGTTAAAAATTTCTGTAGTTTAAGTCATGCAGTTACGGTATTTTGTTATGGCAGTCCAAGCCGACTAAGACAGAAGTGCAGAGCTGCTGTAACAAATACCCAAAAATGTGGAAGCGGCTTTGGAACTGGGTGATGGGTAGAAGCTGGAAGGGTTTTGAGGTACATGCTAGAAGAAGCTGAGATTGCTGTGAGGGTCCTGCCCAAGGCAGTTCTGGTGAGGATTCAGAAAGAGGAGAGCTAGAAAGCCTCCATCTTCTTAGAGAATACTATATAAATAATCATGAACAGAATGTTGGTAGATATATGGATGGTGAAGACCATTCCGATGAATTCCCAGATAGAAACATAGATAGACATGTTATTGAACATTGGAGGAAAGGTGATTCTTGTTAGAAAGTGGGCAAAGAACTTGGCTGAATTGTATTTGTGTTCTAGTATTTTATGGAGGGTAGAAATTGCAGTTGATCAAATTGGATGTTTAGCTGAGAAAATTTGTAAGCAAAGTGTTGAAAGAGTGTCTTGGTTCCTTCTAACTGATTATAGTAAAATGTGAGAAGAAAAAAAAGAATTGAAAAAGGAATTGTTTAAAAAAAAAGAGATAGGAGCATCTGGGTGGCTCAGTTGGTTAAGTATGGGCCTTCGGCTCACGTCATGATCCCAGGGTCCTGGGATTGAGCCCTGCATCAGGTTCCCTGCTCACTGGGGGGCCTGCTTCTCCCTCTGCCTGCCCCCCGCCACAAAAATAAATAAATAAAATTGTAAAAAACTAAAAAAGAGATCATACTTAAAGATGTGGAAAATTCTCAGCCTATTCATACAGCAGAGAATACTAAGAGTGTGGCCAAACAACCCTTTGCCAGTTTCAACTGAAGGGGATAGAGATGGAATGAAATGAAGGAAGGCTTTTGGACTTCTTAGATCCTATAGGACTGGAACATAGTTATTTTGCTGTGAGCATGCATTATTCTTCAAGATTAAGGATAAATGATCCTAAAGGCAAATGCAGAGATCATCAGGTCTGCCTCCTTGGTTTCAAAAATGGGATAGGGTGCCATCGTCTTGGTTTGAAGAGATCAGGCTGCAGTTGCCAAGAGCATCCTGGGGCATAGGGCCGCCTGGCAGAGCCTGGTTGGAGAGGGACATGATTGCCACTGTCATAATCAAAACTTCTGTTTATTCATTACTGTTAATCATAACCCCAAACTGTACCACATCTCTTACCTATGAGCTAAGAGAAAAGTATTAATCTTCTTTCTCCTTTAGTTTGCAGATAAATATAATTAATGATAGATGTATAATAGGAAAAAGACAAGATTAATGAACCTTGCAGGAAATTTATTTGAGATACTGTTCTTACCTGTTGTGCCATTTGTAATATTGAGTACTCCAGTTTATTCTTACCCAGTGTCTTTTGGGGCATTTCAGAATATTCTTTATAAATATTTAAAACCAGTTTTAAAAGACTTTGTGATTAAAATGCATTTGCATAAAAGATTGGTCAACATGTATTTAGGCTTTAATATTTTGTTATTTTTCTAGGATATAAAGTGTGATTGAACTGAACGTCTGTTTGGCTGATCATCATGAACCGTGCTTTTAGCAGGAAGAAAGGTAAGTTTATAGGACCTGGGGGTCAATTCAGTGTCACTGTGAAAATCAGGCAGAGATGTTAAGCACTCAGTTTTTCCTGTTAACAAACCACATGGTTCAGGAATGAAATTAGAATAGAGCAATACAAATATGCACACATTGCTAATTAACCTTTTTTGGTTATCACCCTAATGAGAGTGGAGTTGTTTAATACATTTAGTTCAGAATACATTTATGAGAGTATGTTTCCTGGCAATTTTATTCTGTGGTGTGAAACTGCCAAAAAAAGTGATCTGAAACTAGTCCTACTGGATTGTGTAGCCATATAGTACTAAACTCCCGGGCTTATGTAAGTTTACCGTGATTTAAATTCATGTTTGTATGTGTGTGCACATGCTTCACTTTTTATTGAATAATATGTGAGGATTGATGATAGGTAAATTGATAGCAATGAGGCCAAAATAACTTTGTGATTAATTTTGAGGTAAAGTAAATATAAATGTAATATGTAACAATTATCAGCGTAGGAGTGAAAGAAACAGCTAGTTAAATGTTATTTTTTTAAGGGGCAGTAAAGCATGGCATTTGACAAATATTTCATGATATAGGAAAGATTGAAAAATTTGATAGTTTTTTGTAGTTCAGTGAAGTTAAAATAATGTATCCTTGTCTTTCTGTAAGAAGTTTAGTGATGGACACAGGGCTCTGTCCTGTTTAATATGCTGTCAGTGAAGTGGGAGAGAATAATTAAACAAATGCTACTCAACTTCGTAAGTGATTGATAGTAAGAGATAAACTGATGTGGTAGAATTAACAGATATTTGCGGGAGAAATGACCAGTTAGGTCATATTCCACACTATAAACTCAGTAAGATACTGTAAATTGATGAACATGGGTCCAGAAAATCTAACACTTTGATTCCTATTTATATACTGTTATTATTTGGAAGGTGCACCTTAAGTGCTGTGTGGGTAAAACATAGGTGAAGAATTAAATCAGCCGTGTAGTTATCAAAGGTTCTAGTTAATTTTCTAATATATGAATAATGAACAGTCCAGAACCACAAAATAGATTGTTCTGTTCTATTCCATGAAGTCCAGCATGGTGTGTTCTCGCTTTAAAGGATTGATTGACACATTGTAACATGCCCAGATGAGAGAGGCTGGGGAGACTTCAGGACTTTCAACCTGGAACAGGAATGGTGGCAGAGAACCTGAGAACCCTTGGTGTGGCCTTTCAGTGTTTGAGGGACTGTCATGTGGTCATGGGACTAAGTTTAATAAAGGTCAAATAGGTATAAATTACAAGGTCGTTGATGTAATGCAGGAAGAAATTCCCACAAAGTTGTGCAAACACATAATGGAATTATTGGAAGCACAAACGTTTATTGTTATGAAAGTGAGAAGCCCTCAAACATTTGGCTGTGGTACAGAGGATTAATGTATTCAGGAGGGAGTTAGGTAATGTGAACTTCCAGGCACTTTTCAACCCCGGGAAACTAGGAATTTATTATCTTACTATTTTTCTGAATGAGGGGAAGGCAAAAATAACATTTATTGGTGTCTGTAGCTTGGTTCTGATTTAAAACACATACTGAAAGTAACATAATGTTTCTTTTAAATTTCTTTTACTAGTGGAAAAAGAATCTAGAAATAATTCTATGAGACATAGAAGTATTTTAATGAAGTAATAAAAATCTTTCATCACAACTCATCATTTTAATCATATTTTATTTTTATTTTTTTAAAGATTGTATTTATTTATTTATTTTTTGAGAAGGAGAGTGGAGGAGCAGAGGGAGAGGGACAAGCAGACTCTGCGCTGAGCACAGAGCCCAACAGGGGGCTCAATCTGGTGACCCTGAGATCATGACCTTAGCCGAAATCAAGAGTCGGTTGCTTAACTGACTGTGCCCCCAGGTGCCCGGTTATCTTATTTTTAAAAAACACTTCTAGACTCTTTTTTTTTTAATAATTTTTTTATTGTTATGTTAATCACCATACATTACATCATTAGTTTTTGATGTAGTGTTAGACTCTTTTTTTTATTTGCTTACAATTCTCTTTTCCCATGGTTTTAAAGTTGAAACTCCCAATTTCTAATTTCTCTTTAGCTGAAGACGATGTTGGAGTTTTTCATGGAGAAATCCCAAGTAACCAGCAATTGTATATTTGTTTTGTTTGATGACAGTGGGAATACAGCCATGGGGAAAATTGGAGTGATTTAGAGAATCAGGAAACAGAAGCATTTGTTCTTTCCCTGCTTTGCCTCATTCTCTTTAAAAAATTTCTTGTGGGGCGCCTGGGTGGCTCAGTCAGTTAAGTGTCTGCCTTTGGCTCAGGTCATGGTCCCAGGGTCCTGGGATGGAGCCCCGCATCGGGCTCCCTGCTCAGTGGGAAAGCCTGCTTCTCCCTCTCCCACTCCCCCTGCTTGTGTTCCCTCTCTCGCTGTGTCTCTCTCTGTCAAATAAATAAATAAAATCTTAAAAAAAAATTCCTGTGATTTCCTTTTTTTCCTCAAGTCTAATGATTAATTATCCTTCTCAATATTAGAATATTAGATTATTGATCAATATTTTACTCTAATTTCAAGTTAGAACTTGATACTGGAAGTTCTACCTACCAATTAATTCTGACTCTCATTTAGTATGTTAAAGGAAGAACACTTAGAGCCTCTGCTGCTAGTTTCAACCAATACCACTATTTGGTTGAATTTTAATTTGAGCTAGAAGAATGGAATTTTATGAGAGAAGTCATATATTTTGACAATTGGGAGCTGTAATTGTACCACTAGAGAATATATAATTTAGTCATGTTTCCGATAACTAGAATCAGCATACATTGTATATTCTACTCTAAACAAAGCAAGATGGTCTTTAATCAGTAAAAGCTTTTCTTTCATAAGTGTCCAATTTACTTGGTTATCACATGCAATCTTACTAAATCGTCCTGAACCTCAGAAGCTTAAGGCAAAGAGATTGTCATCTTAAACTCAAACATATATATATATTTTTCTTTCTATCAACTCTTCCAGTTAGTATTTTGTCTGGTATTCTTCGCTCAAATTAGCTATTGACTTCACTGATTTTCTTTGCAAATGCTCTAATGCTACAGCTTCTAAAAAAGACTGAATGTATTAGAATTGCATTATTTGGACTATTTTGAAGAGATCTGTAAAAATTAGTCTTGACTTCATAATCATCAAATAAATTTTAATGAATGTATTTGTTCTATAGCTCCTTTTTTTTTTGGATTACTTTTTACTTTTACATTTTAATTTTTTAACATAAATTCAATTAATTAACATAGTATATTATTAGTTTCAGAGGTAGAGCTCAGTGATTCATCAGTCTTATATAATACCCACTGTATAGCTCCTTTTCTTACGTTAGCCTTCTCTTTGAATTTTTAAAATCCTATATTCTATTCATTATGTCAAAACTGAGTAATTTAGTAAAACATAAAGTTTTCAATGTAAGTAAATGTGATTAAATAATCCAACTAATTGCACTTTATTTTAACCTACCAATTGACATACTGATGAGTAGATATAATCGCAGTGCATAGGACTTAAAATTCAATATTTAAATATTATTTCCCTTTTTATAATCCATTCATATGCATCTGTTCACCCAGCAACGTTTAGTTTTAAATTTGATATACTCAAAGAAGATGCTTTCAATATGCTAAACTCTGGTGATACAGAAATAATGAAGTTACTGCATCATTCTTTTTTTTTTTAAGATTTTATTTATTTATTTGACAGAGAAAGAGAGAGAGAAACAGCTAGAGAGAGAACACAAGCAGGGGCAGTGGGAGAGGGAGAAGCAGGCTTCCCATGAGGCAGGGAGCCCAATGTGGGGCTCGATCCCAGGACTTTGGGATCATGACCCGAGCCGAAGGCAGATGCTTAACGACTGAGCCACCCAGGTGCCCCTACTGCATCGTTCTTGATGAGCTCTTAATCTAAATGCATTTTGAACACTAAGATTTATTGACCCAGCAGCCAGAGTGGTTTGACACTTGCCAAATATTTTGAAATGTTGGCATTTCCCTTTACATGACTGTTTACTCTTGAGTCAGTGATTACAGTGTAATTTCGAGGAAGGGGACATGTTCCTGAATGTCTATGTTGCTGTTTCTGTACCATTTCCGTATATCTGATTGCTTTTGTGGGCATAGGTAGTGACCAGAGACCATCGTCAATGCTCACTCTTCAAGGGCAGGCACATCTATAGGAGTTAATATAGAGAGTTTTATTTGGTCAGTTTTTTTCTTTTGCCAGAGTGTAAATTAGGATGACGGTAAGGATGCATTTTAGGGATCTTTCAGGTTTTATAAGTATGCTGCCTGTACTAGAGGTATGTAATGAACACCCGCTAAACCATCATCCCTTGATAATGTGAATGTAGATTTTTTGTCATTGTAGCAATTGCAGTTTATCCACTGGTCATTTACTATTGTGATTATTTTAATCTGTCTTCAGTACCAGCTGGATATAACTGTCCTCTTTCTAGGTCACTGCACTACAAAACTATAACAGAGGTAGTATCATCAGTTTTCCTATAATAGTGGCTTATAGGAGAAAGCAATTATCCCTCTTCCTCAGGGTTGGAATGAACCATTATATTCAGAGTTAGACTTTATATCCTTCTGAGCAGTGTTGTATATCTTGGAAAAGGAGACATGAGAAAAATTGAGTTAAGGGGTAAAAAAAGAAATTGGATTTTTTTTTTTTTTAAGGTTTCCTAAAGGCAGATCTTTGTTTTTGTTGTTTTGATGTTTTTATTGTTCTGGTGTATTGTGATTTATTTCTTTTAATATACAAGGGCAAGACTGTATCCTAAATCTAAGTACAAATTATTCTTGAATTAATCATATCACTATTCAGTAGCAGTCACAAAGAGAAAACTGTAATTAAAATAAAAATCCTTACAGGAAATAAAAATTTCATGTATTATCAGCAGTATGTTAATATTGCTTTTTGAAGCTTAGAATGTATTGCTTCTCAGAATCCATCACCCAAGTACAACCATCACATATGCACTTTAGTAGTCGGAAAGAGCTCTAAAATTCACCATGAGCTTGTTGGGATTTTTATCAGTCCCTCATGTTTTGTCTTAGAAATTCTTATGAATATTGCATTGTACCCCATAAACATGTTTAATATAACTATAGTGTGTTATTTTCCAAATGGTATAAAATAATTGACATTCCAGAAATATAGGCCTTTTTCTTTTTCTTCACATTCCCCCAGTTTGAGAACATATTAATGCTATCAAACTAATTTCTGTTAACACCATTTTCAAATGTTCCGAATTGAATGTTGAAAACACTTTGTTAGTAATCTTTTTCCTTTCAGTATGTACTTATTTACTGCTTTCCATGGTAAAATATGTCTTTGATTCTATTCTGTTCATAGTATTTATTCTAAATTTTTAAATTCCATGAGGAATAAAATACAAAACTCTGCTAAAGGAGACAATATTTTTTGAAGATTTCAAAATTTTAGTTTCCAAAAAATACAGTTTCCAAAAAATGGTCACATTTGATTTGTTTAATGTTTTTTGTTTTTTCCCCACTTACACAGTCCACAAAATGCTTTGGAAGATGTGTAGAATATATAAATAAAATTCAAACTTGAATGAAAAATATTTTTTCTATTTCTAGCAATAATATACAATTCAAATTATTTTCAGTATCTTCTATCCTTTTAGTCACATTTATTTTTAATATTCTCTTACACTAATCAAGAAATATTTTAAAGATTTAAGATTTATTGATTAGGGAATTGAAAAAAAAAAAACCCTGTAAACCATGAGAGTATAAATGGAAAGAAGAAAGATGTCACATAATCACATAATTGATATAATTGTCTTCCACTGAGTTTTTTTTTTTATATTCTTTAGAAACTTAGTATCACTTTATTTTTTGAATACTTTTTAAAGGAAAAGCTAGGGACTTTTATATCAAGGAAAGAATCTTATAAGCACCTTCCAGCTACACCGTTCTCCTGTGTGACTAGTTATTGGTTTCTCAATTTAGCAAAAGAATCCATTTAGAAATGCTCCCACTCATATCAGACTCCTTATGCTAATGAATGAACGACCCCCTCAGAACGTGTAATTGAATTTAACCTTGTGTATTCTTCATTGCAGACAAAACATGGATGCATACGCCTGAAGCTTTATCAAAACATTATATTCCGTATAATGCAAAGGTAAAGTGGTTTATATGATATTTATTTAATTTATTTTGTTACAGTATTATTATTAAATTCATGGTTGATCTAAGAAGGATTGCTTATGCATTGGCATTTCCTAGTAGATGATTCCTAAAAAAAAGTTTGCGTAAGTAATTTTGTAATATATAGTATGGGAAGTGATTTTTTTTCTCCAAATAAGTAATTCTTTTTTCCCCCTGTCACTCCAATTTTATCTAATTATAAAGAGTATTCTTTATAATTTCTGTCTGTCATGCATGTATTTTCTTCAAATAATTTAGCTATCTTTAAAATTATTTGCAATATCATGGCCTGTAGGAAATAAAACAACCAACAAATTAGCTTTCTTTAAAAGCATTTTAATGTTGCATTGCATAAACAAATGTAAAAACTAACCTGATCATGAGAGAAATGAGCTACAATTTAATGAATGCAGTTTTCATTCAAAAAAAGAGACAAAACTTAAACTGTTAAGAAAACATAGAAAAAGCACATTTTTGAATCTCGTCTTCAGTTTTCTTCATTTTAATAAATAGAAGCAATCTGTACTCCATATCTTCAAAGCAAAGGTCCTTAAAGAAAGGTGTTACTGTATAATTAGGGAGCACAAAACCTGAAATAGATTTCAGAGAAATCTGAATCTAAACTTGGAAGACACAGAAGAGAAAGTTGTGTTAGGGAACATGCAAGTGGGTCAGATTTAAGTAACTGACCTTTGGACACAGCATGGGGAAAACAGAAAATGATAAAATTATTTTCATAAAGAGAACTTAAGGATTTATGAATTAGCAAACTCTATACTGGGATATAATGAGATGAGTTGTAAGGAATGATTTCAGGAAAAATTTAAAAAAACATATATTGAACAGAAAGTCAATGCTGTTTAATAGAGAACATCTTAAGTGCTGGTCTGAGTCTGAATCAGTAGGAAGAAGCATTTATTAAGACCATCTAGAGATTCGTCCAGAGCTGTTGCTCAGCAGTGAGATTTGTAGAGTATGGCAACTCCATTTTTTCTTGCTGACTTTGTAGCAAAGAAATACTCTGAAATATTTCGGTGTAAAGCTAATATGGTTGAAATCACTGAAATGCTTAGGACTTTCCCTCTAGTGTTAACATGAGGTTTGATTGCCATGATTTAGCATGAAAAGGTTAGTTGGCTGAATGAGAAAAACTGAGTTAATATTATCTCTGTCTTCCACAGATATTCTTCATATTAGCTATTGAGAAACTATATGAAAACTACTTAGAAAAAATTAATCTTGAAAACCACTATTATTTTAAAGGGCATGCTCAGTTTTTGATAATACTATCGATCATACTAGAATCATATCTTTTAAATGAAACCACCACATATTTATTTTTATATATGATTGAAATGTCTCATTTTGAAAAACTAGTTTATAAAGGATTGGAAGATTCTGATTAAAGTATCCTTTTTTTTTTGTTAAAGATTTTATTTATTTGACAGAGAGAGACACAGTGAGAGAGGGAACACAAGCAGGGGGAGTGGGAGAGGGAGAAGCAGGCTCCCCGCTGAGCAGGGAGCCCGACGCAGGGCCCAATCCCATCGTGACCTGAGCCGAAGGCAGATGCCTAACAACGGAGCCACCCAGGCACCCTTGATTAGAACTGTCCTTAACTTAAGCTCTGTGGGTTGATGTGAACAATGGAGATCTGCTTGTCTACATGGACAAGTTGCCTGTGCTATTTTACAGGTGCATAACAGCTATAAGACATTCTACATGAAGTAGAGGGCACAAAAACATCTTCGCAGACTGGGGTCAGTAAATTATGGAAGAGCAGGTTGATTTTGTCCATTCTAATATGGCCTCCTGAGCGATAATATATGTCAGGTGTAACAAGTAGTGTTGCAACTATTTGAAGAACATTATTTTTTTCTGAATTCCCCTTTTTTGTGGAACATTTCAAACTCATCATTAGTAGTTAGTTTTGAAATTTTTCTATATTTCTTTAGAGTACATGCCACTTGAAAACCAAATCAATGTCCATAGGATGTACCTTAGCACAACAACAACAACAAAAAATACCGACTCTTGGGGTGCCTGACCTGCTCAGTCCATAGAGCATGTGACTCTTGATCCTCAGGGTCATGAGTTCAAGCCCCATGTTGGATGTAAAATCTACTTTTAAAAATCCACAGTAAAAAATAGCAATAAGAAAAAGAAAAAGAAACAAAAAAGAAGGAAAAATAAATACAAAAGGTTAATAAATATATGAAAAAGATCCTCCACTTATAATCAAATAAGTACTTAAAAAATACAGGCTCTGTACATTTGATGAATTAATGCATAATAACATTTCCAAAGTAATTACAAAATAGTTACATTTCAGTAGGCCCTAATACATGCCAGGTACATGATCTTATTTATTATTTTCCATGACTCAGTATGGTGATTATTAATCTTTACATAAGAGAAAACTTTATACTTTATGTAAGAGATAACTAAGGCTGAAAGATTAAGTAACCTGCCTATTGTCACAAAGTTTGTAAGACAGAGCCATAGTAAAAAACTGAAGTCAATGTGACTTCAGAGATTTGCTGTTTTTATGTATATAATAACACTTGATTAATCATTCATCCACTGCATTGCTGATATGTATAAGGTGCTGTTACTGAAACTTCACTGAATATTGGTGAAGCTTCAGAGCTATATGACACGTGTCTTATATTCTCATGGATCTTATCGTCATAAGGAAATATCATACAAAAATAAGCAACATAAAAGTTAGATCCTGTTCTGTGTCATTCAAATGTCATTTAACAGAAAGCTATAGAGATTCAGAGAATGGTGTGACTCTTGTTTTATGAAAGTGGGAGTGAGGTAGGATTTCCAAGGATCAAAACAAGGGAGGAGTGACCATTTCACGCAGAGATATCTGAAGGACGATGAGTAGAGTCCGTAAGGTCTAAGGTACAAACTGAATATGACAAGAGTTGGGCTGGGGCATAAAGTACTTAATGATGGTAAAGTATTTTATCAGTCAGGGTTGCATCTGAGAAACAGAACTACTAGGATGTGTATACACACACACACTTATCTCAAGGAATGGGTTACACAATTTTGGCACTGGCTAGGCAAGTCTGAAAAGCATATGGCAGGCCATCAGGAAGGGCATGCTGGAAGTTCTTGGGCAGGAGATGACCACAGGTAAAATTTCTTCTTTAGGGACATAGCAGTTCTATTCTCAAGGCCTTTAAATTGATTCTATCAAACCCACTCATGTTATCCAGGTTGTTCTTTTTTACATGAAGTCAGCTGATTATAGATGTTAATCATATCTATAAAATAACTTCATGGCAACACTTAGATTACTATTTGACTGAGTAACTGGATAGTATAAGCTGACCAAGTTGACACAGCACTGACCATCACAAATACTAATGCCAGGCAAGGCTAAAAAGTTAAGTTGGGAAGGTTTTGCGTGGCAGGAGAAGGAGTCTGAGTAGTGAACTAAGTAAGTAGGATTTTAGGAACATAAATCTTTAGTGATCTGAAAGTTGATTTGGATCAAGAGAGATAGGATGACGTTCAGCTTCTTAGGAAGTTAACTTTAATGGTCCAGGTGTGTGGTCTTATGTGTATACAGGGTAATAGATAAACATATAGTGGAAAATAAAGATGTGCTAAATATTGCAAGGAAAATTGATGCAACAGAGGAATAATTTGTATGTGGGGAAAAGAAAAATACCTATTTTCATCCTGGCTAAAAGAGGGAATGATCATACCATTAAAAGATTTCCACTACTTCATTCACTTTTGGGATCCGCTGGTTACAAAATAACCTGATAAATTAACCAGAGCTGTTCAAGAACTGTAATTCTCCCTGGGGAAACATGTAATAACGTTTACATCTAGATGTTTTCAGTTTTAAAGTAATAGTTATCTGCTTTCATGTTACAATTTCTTTTTTTTTTTTTTAAAGATTTTATTTATTCATTTGAGACACAAGAGATATGGAGAGAGAGAGAGAGAGAGCATGAGGAGGGGGAGAGGCAGAGGGAAAGGGAGAAGTAGGCTCCCCGCTGAGCCAGGAGCCTGATGTAGGGCTTGATCCCAGGACCCTGGGATCATGACCTGAGCCGAAGGCAGACGCTTAACCATCTGAGCCACCCAGGCGCCCCTCATGTTATAATTTCTTTAATTTTTTTAAGAAGATATTTTAGTTCCACATTCTTTCATTTTATATAAAATTCTATTTCAGAAATTCACATTAATATTTAGAATATGCTTATTTCAGACCATATGTGGATATAAAATATTAGTTGCTTTCAAAAGTATTATTCTGTATAAGGTTCATTAGTTTTGGGGTTTTTTGTTTGTTTGTTTAATGAGCAGTGACAGCTTTAATACCAGTTCATTGGGAATTCTGCATGTTATCCTGTGTACTCTGTAGTGATGTTTTCAAATTGCAGGTTATGCTCCATGAAAAAAATGGGGTCATGAAATTAATGCAGTGGGTCACAGGAGGCATGTATTTAAAGATGAAATAGAACAGAAAAGAAAAAGAAATGACATTTTTAGAATGCATATGGTAAATATCAATTTGTTCATAAAATTGTGGTTCATAGTCATTGAATATGAAAGCCACTGCCTTTAAATGGTAACCTGCCTTTATAGTGTATGAAAGACTTGACCAGATTTAACCAATTTAAATCACAAAATAATAATAGGGGGAGCTGCTTAAAAGAGCCATTAAATTTTTAATAGAAGAGATGATCCACATGTAAGTTTAACCACATGCCCTCATTGAATATAGCATCTTAAAATCATTTCTGAAATATGCACGTAAGCATGGTAGGAATGATAGAGGAATAAAGTAAAATGTAAATAAAGGTTCACTTGTGCACTTGTTCATTCACACACGTGCTTATCCATTTGAATGGAGTTCCTAATATATGCAAGGTCCTGATCTAGAAAAATGGGAATTGATTAGTAAACCAAATAGATAAAATCCTGCCCTCCTGGGCTTTC